AGAAGAAGATCGCACCGATGAGATCGCGCGACGCCGCGTCGAGTAATTTAAATTAATTCGCTCGATTACGCCGGCACGTCCTCTCACGATCCTCGTTCCACGCGCTCGTTACACCTTTATTGTTAATGAAATCGCATTTATCATCGGCCTCTGCCCGTCTCCCGTCTCGAGTCGATCGTAAACCGATCCGAGCGACCGATCTTTCGACGCTGAGAGACCGAAATCTCTCCGATTTCCAATGCTTCTCGCATCGATCCCCGAAAGACTTTGAAGACTTCTTAAGTAGGATACAAGATGTTGTACCGTCTGATGAGATTCACGGTCGCTATGTTTGCGCAGGTGTGAGCTTGCAGAATTGCACCGCAGGACCGTTCGCCAGCGGCAATGGCGGTGGTACGAGTCGTCAACGATTGCTGGAATTGTCGCACGGACTGGGAGCTCTGAGACACTACAACGACCTGGCGAATCACGTGCTGTCGTTGAACCAACAGGGAGCGGTTGTCACCAAACTTTTAGGTAAGTTTCTCTACCGACAAGTGGAATCATTCGTACAAATTAAATCCGGATAAGACTCTGTCGATGCTTTGCGTAGCTCGTGGCTTACCGTCGCACGATCCATCATTGTCTCGTCTGTTTCGGTTTGATAATTCGATGTGCACAGGATGAAGTAAGAGGAAAACTGCTCTTCCCTTGCAAGAAATTGGAAAATCGTCGTAAGCGAGTGTAGCCTGCTCTCCTCTCGTTCTGAGACCTGCCTTCTGGTCAGACGGAGGAGTTTAATGAAGCAGTTTGCGTTTACGGAATTCCATAAATCACACGCTCGATGAAAACAGCGACATTCCTCGTGGAATCTCGCGCTGGTATCGTCGCGTTTATCGACGCGTGACGAGATCCTCGCTTCTTCCTTCTCGATAATCTATGCTAGAAAATTCGCTGGTGACGCGCGCTGAAAATCCGCGCCGGGCGTGGTGCTCACTCAGCCGAGCGAGACTACGAGTGTGCGATTGCAAAACTCGCGCGAAATCAGTTGTCTGGCCGCGCGTGCTCGAAGCGAGCGTACAGTGAACTGTTTGACCCGAAAAGTCAATTTCAAAAATTCCAGCGTCAATCAGAAAGTCTTTGTCGAGGCAAATTTGCCTTGAACATAAGGTGCTGAATTTTTCTTTTACGCGTTCACGAATCACTAGATCTTGATCGAAGATCGAGAGATATTGTCCTTGTGATGTTGCCCTTTGACATATCAAAATCATCGATAAATTTATTAGTGAATTTTATATTTTACGAAAAGATTGCTTTGCATTATTTTAAAAAGATTTACATTCTTCAAGAGTATGCACTGCATTTTCAAACAGTTTTTATTATTTCATCACGCCCTATATCGTTATCAATGTTTGTAAATAATCAATGATTCAATAATTTTATTACATTTCGATTGATTAGAATCCAACGAAATTTGGTCTGGATTTTATAACTAATTTAGTATTTGGATAGAATTTTTATAATTTGGATGAAAAATTGATGACAGAGAAATGCTCTTAAAATATATAACTTGTCATTTTAAAAATCATTTCAAGTAGCGATTTCTCAAAGATTTTCGATTGTCATTCAAAGGCTAATCGGCGTTGTATAAAATTTCAAAAGAAAAAAATTTCCAACTTGAAGTTCAATTCAATTTTTGACCTCGTAATGTTGTGGCTGACGTTGAGACCTATACATATTACAATCTTGAGCATGTAAATAACGTCTTATAAATAAATATCTTCCCGGCTTTTCGGACCAAATTGGCCCACTCTGCAACGGCCATCGAGATCAACGCCAAAGAACCGATGAAACTAATTGACAATCCTCTTATTTATCGTATTATTTCCCTAAACGTCGCGCCATTATTAGATAGTAGATAATTGTTCGTCAACCTAATCGACGAATCTCGGGATGCAATTACCGCAATGCGTCGCAACGCGGAGATCTCTCCAACGTCAGCGAAAATCTTTGCAAATGTCCGTCGATGAAAGAGATCAACGACGTTCCATCAAGTTGCTAGTACAATAATCGTCGCTTCCGGCTATGGATTGGTAGCTCGAGTTGGAAAATAATTCTGTTCGATCAACACGAGCACACACGGATGGTGTCTATAGCAGGGAAAAGATATATACCCAGATGGGTGAAGTGAAACGTCGAGGAACTGATTTAACCATAGTTGTCGAGCTGCACGCGTTTTTTCAAATCAATTTCAAATCAGTTTCCTCCGTCGTTGTTGGCAGAGCCAGACGATCAGTCATCAAATTGGAACTTTCAGAGCAAAAGTTATAAATAGATCAATGTTCGAGCAAGCTAACAGCAAGTGTCCAGAGAATCGAATCAAAGCGGGCTAATTATTGCAACGGGTATAGATGAATAAATATAAGATATTTTTATTCCAAAATTCTAGGTAAGTACTAGAGAAAACCTAACTCAAATGTAACCTAGGTGGATTTAACTTGATGCTAATGACGCTAATGACGTAAGCGTCGGGCCCTTGAAAGTCTTTTTAAGTAAGTCACTCTCTTGTCGGAAAGAAACGATTTAACAATTGTTGGAATTAAATGGATTTGTTTTTACTTGTTTGGTTAAAACGACGTTTGTCGAGTCGATGTGTTTTTGGCAATGCTACTTCCGAAGCAACGGAAACTTCCTTCCTTCAAAGTGCCAGTAATAAAAACTAAATGTATAAGAACTTTTTAATCGTTCTGCCAACTGAAAGTGACACAACTAGATCGTTATCGTGTGATCAAACGATAAAAACAATTTGCGTGTCCATTCCTACAATTAGCAACCACTTTATATCACAACTACGTGCACACATAAAACCTATATAAAACTTTGCATTATAAATATTTATAAATACAACTAATCACCTCAGCCTCAGGCCCAACAAAAAAAAAAAAGGATCGATTCTCAGACGCTGAATCCGGTTTTTACGATTTCTAACGTGTCTCGAATTAACTGCAATTCAATCGCAATGAATTCGACAATCTCGAAACGTACACGCCTGTCGTCGCTCGATTTAAACGCTCCGATTCTATCGAATCATTCGACAGAAAGATACAAGCGACAAGCGTGTCCGAAACTTGGACAAACATTCAGCTGTGGATTTCTAAGACGCTTGTCAGATTCGAAATATTGCCGCGCGTTTGATTCGCCTAGCGCTCGTTAATCTCGACAAGCTGTCGACGAGTGCAGCGCAAAGTACCGCTTCGCGACTAGCCTTCTTTTTTACAGGTGATGTTCGTCCGCGCAGCAAATTCGAGTCGGGCTGACGTTGATCGCCGCTCGTTCGCGGACAAGGCGATAAAACAGCATAAGCCAAATTGATCGGCATCTCGAGCATTTTCCAACAACTCTGCGCGCACGCTGAAAATAAGGGAGGGGGAGGGGGGAGGGGAAATAAGGAGAAGCGGAGAGACGCATTCTCCCCGCGTCAGAGTAACGAGCGTTACGAAGAAGCGGCGGTTTTTCGAGCTCGTTAGCCGGCCGAGATTAACTCGTAACAGCTGTTTCTTCAGCCTGAAAAACACTCGCATGACCGGCGCTCGACCATCCTCGAATAATTTGTCAATAATTGCCCTGATCCTCGCCCGTGCTCCCGTTCACCCCGTTCGAGGAATTTCGGAGATTTCCTCTATTTCGATACTTTGTTCAGTATAAAAAGTTACATCGACTGCAAAAAAAAAAAGAAAGAAAAGAAATAGTTTGAGAAAGAATTTTTCGACGAGAGAACTGTCCGGAAGTGGTTCGCCTAGATGTTCTAGTGTGGATTTCCAAGGTGGACGAAAATCGGTGATTCAAAGTGGAGCAAAGTGGACCATCGTGGCTTCGTTCGCTCGAGGACGCAGGAAGAGGAACGCAGAACGTTGCCGATGAGGGCAATAAAGAAATGGTGGCGAGCCACCGAGCATCGGTGAAACGCCGGTTTCTCTCCTTCTCTCGGCCTCGGTCCTCGTTAACTTTACGAGCCGCTCGTAAAAATACCGTTCGGGCCTGCTCTCTCGGCTCGCCGGTAATGTCTTCATCTCCACTGGATACGGACTCCTTTAGCCTCTCGAGGTGAATATAATGTACCATAATCGACTGGCCAATTACTTAACAGCGGCAAACAATTAATCCCGTGGCACCAGCCGTGGTTGCTCGGCAACCCCAACAACGATCTCCTCGAACTTGGCCATCTTCCCCCTCGATCGAGAGCAACCAACGAAGTGCGTTCCACCATCGAGAGAGAGAGAGAGAGAGAGAGAGAGA